ATTATATCCACTTCAAATAAACCTGGTTTCTCTGTAACCTGCTCATCATTCTGATGAATCTATACGGCATTCCAATTTAGCTATCTTTATCTTTTACGTCAACATACCAGAATATATTGTTTGTGAAGTAAATTATATACACTTCAAATAAACCTGGTTTTTCTGTAACCTGCTTATCTTTCTAATGAATCTATACGGCATTCCAATTTAGCTATCTTTATCGTTTACGTCAACATACCAGAATATATTGTTTGTGAAGTAAATTATATCCACTTCAAATAAACCTGGTTTTTCTGTAACCTGCTTATCTTTCTAATGAATCTATACGGCATTCCAATTTAGCTATCTTTATCGTTTACGTCAACATACCAGAATATATTGTTTGTGAAGTAAATTACATCCACTTCAAATAAACCTGGTTTTTCTGTAGCCTGCTCATCATTCTAATGAATCTATACGGCATTCCAATTTAGCTATCTTTATCGTTTACGTCACACTCTTCAGCAGAATTTCACTCCTGAACATGTGTATGAAAGTACATGTTTTTCCGTATCGTGTTGGAATAAGGTAGAATGGGTCCTGCTAAAGATGTACCCTAAGCTAGGTACAACATGAACGCGCGGAACCCCATTCTCCTCGTTCACGTAGTGACATTGCCGATACTAGCTACCCTGAGTGACCAGTTGATACCATGTTATGAAGTAGATATATGATGCTATGTCTGGAGGTGAATACGCAGCGTACTACTGTTACGTGTGTAACAGAACACGACAAAAGTAATAATGTCCTAAAGGTGAGCTGATGTCGCCTGTTTAAGAGGAAGAATGTTAATAATTAAATCACGAAATACATCAGGGAATGTATTCGTAGACGACGCTGTGAAGCTTTATTTCCTTGCTTAGTTCTCTACTGCATAACTGTCGATTGGGATGAAAGACACGGGATTTTCAGTGCTATTTTTTCCTCCTCCTCTAGTGAATTGGTCAGTGTTGGCCAGAATGCATTGTACGATAAACAAACAATTCCTGCGTAATCTCCAGTGTTAGGTATATCACTTTATCTATGATTCTCTTTCTTTTACCACCTCATTCACAATTTCAATAACCCATCTGATCTTGGTAACCATTCTGGAATAATTTGCTTCTTTTGTTGGTTTTGCTCCTTTATAAGGTCCGAAATGCATATCCTGTCAGAATTCTGTACTTTTATGAAAACATCCAGAAAACAAACAAATCGTCCTTTTTGAAGCTATCGTATGATTGATTGACATTATGCTTTTCAGGGTGAAAGGTGTCATCATTATTACCATCATTGAGACACGCCTCAACACGCTGAGGATGTATCTGTTTATGTTAAGAGCAAATCTGCACTGTTCCCATCTCGGAGATTGAGCCTTGAATTTTAGCACAGTAAGCCTTCAAGTTTACCTCTAGGCCATCGATGGGCCTGAAGATATATTCAGTTGCACCCATGACCATTTCCGGCTTCATAAAATTCCTATGGTTCTGGTCACTAAAGTTTCCAATTTAAAAAACTGTAATTGCTGGCCTTTCTGAATTTGTGAACAGACATGATTTTAGTTCTTTTTCTTTGCCTTCGAAATACTGAAACCAATACTTATAGAGATGGTTATAAACTAGATGTTACTTAGCCCTAGTTCACAATAAAAGTATTTTGCTCAAATTGTTCATAATGTTTTTTTTTAATGTTTCAAATCATTTAATGATGTTTCTTATTTGTTACAGGAAAGGTACACGATGGGCTGTCTGCGCTCTTTCTACTTCGAGGAATCGAGCCCTAAGTTTTTAGTTTTAGCAATACAAGCCCGTCGGGAAACTACTGATTTAACATAATAGTTATGGAAAGTTGTTAAATCACAACAGATATTTCACTATTTTTAACAGTTAAAACATTTTATTGGAACGTTTGTAAAAATATAAACTGAGTTAGTGGCTCCGAATATTCTAGTACATTAAAACATTAAGTAACATAAACAATTTTGATCAACTAAATAAGTTAATGATACCTCGATATATAAACAACAAATTATCAAAAAATCTACAGAATCGAACGTTTAAAAAAAACAAACACGATTTCAAATAATCATATTATCATTGTTCCTTGATATGTGGGACAATTAAATGCATTTTCCCGCTCCAATAACAACCAATCGATATTAAAGAAATGGTTTTGTCATATAATAATGCAGTAAGTTGCAGGAAATATCGCACTTATGATAACATAATCTGTCTCGCGACAAATAAAACCAGTAGATATTGTGAGACCCAAACAGTAGAAATTTTCCACGAGCCGTTCGAGGCCCTTGAGTTTTGAGCCGACCTCTGAGTGTTCGATTGATCTTTATCTTCTGTGTCATCGTAATGACCTGAGTATGAAACGATAATAAACATATAAACAAAACGAACAGTTATAAAGAAATGGTTATTATTTTCTTGTTAGTAATAATAATATTTTGAGGCCAGTATAAAGAAAACTAAACAAGCTTTAAAATAACATTGAAGTTTTTAATTCTGACTGTTGATAAAGAACTATAGGTCTGCATTAATCTTGATGACCTCACTCCAAACTTTATATTATTTAATCACAAACAATTCGTCTTTCAAAGAGAAGAAACCACAAGTTAAACTTATATGCTAGTTAACCAGAACGTGGATAAATAAGCCTGCAGTGCTAGTTAACCAGAACGTGGATAAATAAGCCTGCAATAAAGTTGTGTTTGTTTGTAATTAAGCACAAAGCTACACAATAGGCTATCTGTGCTCTGCCCACCACGGGTATCGAAACCCGGATTCTAGTGTTGTAAGTCCGCAGACGTTCCGCTGTGCCACTGGGGGGCTGCAGTAAAGTAAAACATATCGTCTTCTGTCGCATGAGGACTGTAAACAGGTTTGGCTTAGAGCCAAGTTTAAGGAATTACATGTAACCAGAAGGTATATTATTCACGAATTCCGCTGGTCAGCTATCTAACATATTTTTTATCCAAATTAGATGTAATTTTGCTTCATTTATGCTTTATTTTGCTTTATTTATTCTTCATTTTTAGTGTATAGCCAGTCATAACTATATGAAACTGACATAAGAAAACATAAAATGATAAAAGATACATGAAATGTATTTGTTTGTTTGTTGAAGTTATCTCAAAGCTACTAGAGGTTGTCTGTGTTAGTTGTTTGTAATTTCGAAGTGATGGACTAAAGGGAAGGCAGCTAGTGAATAGTAACTACCGCTACCTTTTTAGCTACTCTTTACCAACGAATAGTGGGATTGACACATTATAATGCCCCACGACTGAAAGGGCAAGAATTTTCAGTGACAGGACGCGAAACCGCGACCCACAGATTGCAAGTCTAGAGCCTTGACCACCAGACCATGCAAGGCCCTTCATTACATGTAGATCTGAATTTCTGTAAAAGCATTATGCATTGCTCCTAAATGCGTCTCCAAGCCTATATTACAAGGGATACATTTATACTTAGAAGAATGATAAAAACATATTTGTGTACAAATAATGATTCTATAAAAGACAAGTTAACGACTTGAGAAGAACTCTTATCTCTTGTCATTTTGTTCTTAATTATGAGCTGTATTATTTTATTTTGTAACTACATTTATGGACTTTAAAAACGCCACTTGCAGAATTCCAGTATTTCCTATCTCTTGCTTTATTCAAGTAATTTGAATCCCATGATGGGTTCGGTTTGGTTTGTTATGAATTTCGCGCAAAACTACACGAGGGCTATCTGCGCTAGCCGTCCCTAGCAGTGTAAGACTAGATGGAAGGCAGCTAGTCATCACCACCCACCGCCAACTCCTGGGCTACTCTTTTACCAACGAATAGCGGGATTGACCGTCACATTATAACGCCCCCACGGCTGAAAGGGAGAGTATGTTTGGTATGACGGGGATTCAAACCCGCGACCCGCAGGTTGCAAGTCGAGCGCTCTAACCACCTGGCCATGCCGGGTCTCCAATGATGGGAAAAATTGAAGTTTTAAAAATTTGCACCAAAAGTTCATCTTAGGTTAATATTACGGTAATAATATTTAAAATTTGTTATGATGATTTGTTGTGTTCTGTAACAGATAGTGAAATTGATGAATAGTTAACGTGCCCAACCGTGAATTCGAAGGTTAATGGTGGAGTCCGTTGCTACAAAATCGCGCTCCAGAATTTGGGGCTCGTGGGTGCGTTATAAGAGTGACGGTCAAATTCCATTTTTCGATTAGAATGGCCCAAGAGTGGCGATTGTACTATTGAGTAGCTATTTTCCTCTAATCTATAAGTTCAAAATTAAAGACTATTATCCACAGATAAACTTTGCTTAGCTTTACCCAAATATCCGAAATAATCAACCACTGATGTTTAAAGTGTGTTTTTGTTGTTGTTTTTTCCATCAAAGTATTTTTTGTATACATTTTCGTTAAATCACAGCCTTCGTTCTTAATTATATTAGCCTCTAATGGGTAAGAGTTATTAAATTGACCTAGCTAGGCCTTATAATCCGATATAGCATTTAATATTGAAATGGTCACGGTGTAAGTTATATTACTTAAAAATAACTCGATAAGTTTCATTTTATACTGTATCATATCTTGGGAAGGATCATCTATTGAGTAGTATCGTTTTCTTCGGTATAAAAATTTCGCAGCCTGAACACGAGCTCTGGTATTGAGCGAAAACCCTCGTCGGCTCGTGTAGTGTGTGGTGTGGTTGACGTATTATACATATTCTGCTTTGCTTTCATTCATAACTTCTTAGAAATTACTAATGCAGTTTTCTCCTGTTAACAATGTTTGCTTGACCAGCTCCTGGAACAAAAAAAAACAAACTAGAATATTGGTTCACCAATTATTCTGAATGATTAGTTAGTAGAGTTAATTCGGATAAAAATAATGAATAATAATGTTTATTAATCCTTACCCTGAAATTCTGATTAATAAATGACTTAAATAAACTTGATAATAATTACAGTTCACGTACTTATCTAGTTCACACCTTAACAATTGTTCATGAAAGTTGACGATATAAATATGTGCTAAACAACTACTACATCTACCATATCCCAGCCTGCCCGATTAGCCCTGGTATTGGGCGAGAAACCTCGTCAACACTGAATAGAGCAGATTAGTGTGGATGACATATTAATGATATATTCCACTTAGATTTCATTTATAAGTTCTTAGAATGTGTAACAAATCACCGGATGATACATTCATAATATTTACGCATAATGTTACAAAAGTAGGAAAACATAATAACGAAACCCCATGTCCAAGTGTTTTCGAAAATTAGTGTGTAGAAAAAATATAAACTTGTGATCTTCAGTGACACCTTGGGCTACATTGTAGATCATCTGGAAAGGGGGAAAAAAAGGCGTATGTTGTGTCATGATGAGATGTGGCATAATATTTAACGTACATGATAATAACTTTCCATATAAAGGAGAAACAGAACCAAACAAAATAACGAAACAAATTGGAGAATTAGGAACCTGTATTAATATCAGATTATTATTGTTAGTTAAAACACATTTGAAATTCTTAATTTGACTAGATTTTCTAGTTCGTTATTTTTGATAACCTCATGAACGAGAACTCACTTTAACTGTGAACAAGAGGGAATCCTCATTAGCTGCGAATGTAATTAGATCTCAAATCGGTAAAGAGATGGAGCTATGAGCTAAAAGTTTGTAATTGGGAAAAACTCAGAGCCGCTATGCCGCGGCTAAAAATAATATTAGTACACTTATTTACGAACTATTTTTGTGTGCAAAGTTTTAACTCTTATCATATATAAACAATATACAATATGTTTGAATTTATGAATTTTACAGCTTTAATATATACATATGTATCAATATAAAAAGGTTCAACTAAAATAACCAATTATTGATTACTGAGACTTTCTGGTAAAAAAAGATTCAAGACTTTATACATTGATTACTATTGTATTCACGATATAAAGTTATTAGTTAAATAGAAAGTTTGTTTATTGTTAAGCCCAAAGCCACACAATGGGATGTCTGAGCTCTTTCCACTGCGGGTATCGAAACCGAAGTTATAGCGTTATAACTCCTCAGACTTACCACTAAACCAACAGTGGGCTAAAGAGAAAGAAGCTGAGATTACAGTTAATTTATTTTACTTACTTTTATGTTCATGATTGTCATGATCATAATCATGAATGTGATTTTCATCATAATCGTGATCTCTATCATGATTACGATCGTAACCATGGTAAGTGTCAGGGTCGTGATCTGGTTCTCTTCTTTCCCCTAAGCCGTAAAAGTGGTGTCCAGGGTCTCGTATATTATGATCAGGTTCGCTTTCTTCCTCGTCTTCTCTGATGTCGGATTCATTCTCAACAATAAAACTAAACACGACGACACAAATTCCATGAAGAAGAAACAAAAAGAGGGTTTTCTTCATCTTACTGATGCTGCAAGAAATAAAATGTCTTACAAGGTTTTTGACCTGTCATGAAAAGGATTCCCGAACCATGAATTTCCTTATTATGATATTTGTGGCCTGTTAATAAAACCCTGTGTTGTATATTATTTTGTTTATTAAGCATGATAATATATATTTATTTACATAACCAAATACGATGCGAAATACTTTACTGTTAATTTATGAGAAAAATGTGTTTTAAACCAATAAAGCAACTGATATGAAACTACGTGCATATCAGTAATAAAACTGTAATTTATACGCATTTATTCAATCAGTGAACTAGAAGTTGATCATCTACTCTCCTTCTTGCATTATGGGTATTAAGTTACAAAAAGTAAGAGACTCGGGTAGTAGATCCCAACAACCTAATCGTAAAACATCAATGTACAAGACTGATAAAAGTATAGTAAACATAATATGAACCGTGAAGACCCGCCATCAATTGATCAGGACTTTAATACGTCTTCATGCTCAATTTCAAATACAATAGCCTCAAATGTAAAAACATAATTATATTTATTGTCGATACCATTGCGATTTATATCGATCTAAAGACAGACAAGGTTTATCGAGTTATGAATTTTTATCATGCCTGGTGTTAAAAAAAAACAGAATATGCACACACATAAAGATGTAAATATATATATATGTATATCCAAAATTCAACCTTCCACGTTTGGATAACAACAAAATGCCAATTTAAAATAAATGTGCTAATTGTATGAAAACTACATTCGAGTTGCCCCTCAAGTCCGCACAAATACAGTCGTTTTCACTAATGAAAACAGACAGTTTTGGTTTTAAGCACTTTAAAAGGACCCCGCGAAACATGACATGTGGTTTATTTTTTAGAAGTTGACAAAACGTCATCATGTATACCTATATATTTTACATAATAAAAATAGTAAAAAAAATACCTTTTGGGTGTAAATAGTTAGCAAAACATATCTATTTAAATGTTTATAACATTTTTCTATGAAAAGTGAAGAGATATTTCTAGAACAAAGAAAGAAAATAGCTTTTCTAAGCACACACATTAAATAAAGCTAGAATAATTTGAATTTCTTAATATTTGTCAGTTCGAACTATTGAGGATGGCGCAAGTAAGAGCAGACACTGTGATACGCTTAACGATTGTTTGTTTTTGAATTTCGCGCACGAGCCGTCCCTAATTTAGCAGTGTAAGACTAGAGGGAAGGTAACTAGTCATCACCAACTCTTTGTTTGGCTACTCTTCTACCAACGAATAGTGAGATTGACCATCACATTATAATGCCCCCACGGCTGAAAGGGCGAGTATGTTTGGTGGGATGGGGATTCAAACCCGCGACTCTCAGATGCGAGTCGAGCGACTTATCCACCTCGCCATACCGGGTCACGCTTAACGAAGAGTAAAACTCTTCAAACAATACTTGCTCTCATTATGTTTGGTGGGATGGGGATTCAAACCCGCGACTCTCAGATTGCGAGTCGAGCGCCTTATCCACCTGGCCATACCGGGTCACGCTTAACGAAGAGTAAAACTCTTCAAACAATACTTGCTCTCATTAGCTTTTCAATATAATTTAGCTTAGAAAAGTAGTAATTAAAACTAAAATAGTCCTACATTCTTATGTATGTGGGTTTTTATCATCATCATGATTTGATAATAAGGCTATTTATGGGATTTTTTAATTTTTTAATAAATAATGAATTAATTTTTTGACAAGAATTATTTGTTATAATATTTAACAAGTTCTCCTGAACATGTTTGCGATAAATGTATTCTGTGGTAAAAATAAAGGAAATTGTGAAGTTGTTTTCAATTTCGCGCAAAGCTACTCGATGGTTATACGCACGAGCCGTCCCTAAATACTAATGATAGACTAGAGGGAAGGAAGGCAACTAGTCAACACCACCCACCGTCAACTCCTGGGCTACTCCTTTATCAACAAATAATGGGATTGACCGTAACTTTATAACGCTCCAACGGGGAATAATAATAATAATAGAACTTATATGTGATAGACTAGAGGGAAGAAAGGCAACTAGTCAACACCACCCACCGTCAACTCCTGGGCTACTCCTTTATCAACAAATAATGGGATTGACCGTAACTTTATAACGGCCCAACGGGGAATAATAATAATAATAGAACTTATACGTCGATTATGATACAAACTACGCTATACTTAAAAATAATAAACAGGAAGTTAACTTCCTGAAACCAGAAAATACTCAAGCAAATTTCCAAATGTCGAATAAGTATGTTTTCAAACCTTTAAAAAAATCAATTCACGACGATGCTAGTATAGTTATAATTTGTATTACCAAGTTTTAAAATGATATACATACCTGGCTGATGTTGATTAGCGATCTAGTCACTGAAATAAAGGAAGTATAACATACACGACAGCACTCTACCTGTTACTTACTCGGATTCATAATGTCTATCGATTATTTATAAGAACGCTAATCTTTTCGCAATCGTCTGTTTTAATTTTTCTGTAGTTTTAAAATGTTTAGATGTCGCTAGTGAGGAGTGACTCAACACGTGTGATAATTATGCAGTGACTGTGAAAAGGGCTGTACCCAATAGTACTCTGGCCTTACGTAATTTCTTGTTTTCGTTCACACCACATCCCTCGCGGTATGATGAAATCAAGGCCAACTTTTGCCTAATGCCAGTTTCATCAAGTTATTTCTTGTTCTAGTGAAAATCAATTTAAAAAATAAAATTATGAAACTAATGCAAAACATAAATTATATCTAGAAACCCTCGACTATTTTTACATCTCTCAATACACACAAAAAGTAACTTCGTAGAATGAATGTAAATTGTCAAGTTGTCTTCGCTTCGAAGAATCTAACCCTGAATTCTAAAGTTAAAAGTCTTCAAACTTATATTTGAGCCGTCTTTGGTTGTAAATGATTAAACAGTATATTAAAACCTGCTTGGTTTTTAACTACATTCATTAAAGTATCAACAGAGACAGGAAGCAGACTTTTAAATTTACTGTGAAACGGACGTAATATTACGTAAGACAAGAATCGCTCTTCATAATCGTTGTTCATTTTACAACTTTTACGATAGCACTGAGATTAATCGCACTTGCATCGTTAATGTGCTCAGTTTAATTGTCACTATTGCTCGTCAATTCGATTTCCATTGTAAAAAAGCTCTTGCGAAAAATGAGATTAAACATATACCATACAATTTGACAAACTGATACTACAAACCCTCCGCTATTTGTGAACGTCGGCGTACAATACAACACTTATAGACCAAAGACGTAAAGGTCCACTGGCGCTGGGACACTTGGTAGGTGTGTGAACAAAAGGAAAAATTCTAGGATTCCAGTATATTCAGAAACCTCTCTTAAGAAAACAGCCTTCGATTTGAAGCTGGGGAGTCTTTGTTCATTTCAAATGCTCGCATGTTACTTTGTTAACGGTACCAGGAGATATACCCAGCTTCATTGCAATGACTTTTTTTAGGTCAGAGGGTTTTTCTCGGGACAGTAGCCATCACTTCGCGGATGAGTATTGTTTGTTTGTTTGTTTTTAATTATGCACAAAGCTACACAAGGGCTATCTGTACTCTGCCCACCACGGGTATCGAAACCCGGTTTTTAGAGTTGTAAGTCCGCAGACATACCGCTGTGCCACTGGGGGACTGCGCGCGCGCGGATGAGTAAGTTGCTTCTAACTGGCTAAGCTCGCTGATGTCCTAAATGTTCCGTTGTGCGCTTTACGTCGTCCAAGGAGGACAATGGAGGATCCTTGTTTCTGAATTTTGTGACCTCTGAGTCTACATCGTTTAATGACCTAGGCGTATGAATATTTATCTTAGAAAAGGCTTTTTATAAATCTCCAGCCTAAAGTCTATCGTGGCGGCACTACTCTCTCGAATGGTCGGGTCTTAATGGTGGACCAGATACATGTCGCACGTGGTGCCACGGCTGTAACACACCACGGTATTAGCATATTCCTCAGATAGAATGCGATTAACCCTCTGCATACAGCATCACTACAGTAAAAAAAAAGTCATTCTTTAAAATAATAAACGGTTCATCAATAAGAGAGTATAACTTATTATTTTCACCTACGATAATATATTTCTAATTGTCACCTCATGGGTAACAGATGATTTAGTGTTTAAAAAAACAACGTTCACGTCTGGACATGACATTTTACTCACTGCTAGGGTGATGAAGTTTTCAAATATTTCCTGATTATCATGATCCGGTCCTTATGATTTTGGCCAAAATCCTCACTCACTTACCAGTAAATTACTGTTTTTCGAAACATGTCTGGGTAATGTTGGGAAGTTTAACGCATTTATATATTAATTTCGCCCCTAGAAAATTTATATCGCTCTTGCAAAGGCTGGCCTTTAAGAAAGATTGTAACATCGTGGTTCCTACAATATTGTACATCTACTGGATTACGAACTCGGTTTGTTAGAATTAAATGGAGTTACGCAATAATTAACTTTACGAATAGACAAGCCTAAATTTATCTTCAAATTATCATTTAAATTAGACAAAGGATTAAACCTATTTTTGCTATGAAATTAAATCTTCGCAAAATGAGACCTTCCGACATATATTTCGTACAGGAGTAAACAAAAATATGTGTTAATACATCTACCGTTTTAGAATTGTACACTTTAAACTAATTTTCACTTAAAGTAGTGCGCAAGCGTAGTACGACTAACTAAAACGTAGTCCGAGAAAAATATTTTTTATAATCAGCTATAAGAAGATGGAAAAATAAGTAAACGTGTGATTTACATTTTGTAGAGTTAGCAGACTGATAGTTAATATTACCGATAATGTGTAACGTGACGATGTAGTGTCTAGCGCACACATCTCAGCTATACTGTTGGTGTGAACGTACTTTGTAGTCACTATGAGAAAAAACCTATCCAATGTTCACACGTTCACACCAACAGTATGTTTGATACTTTTCACTATTGATATAGGTCCAGGTTATCTCTCTTTGGTTAGTTTGTGTTCAGGGTTACTGATGGGGAATGGAATTCTCCGGAACCAGTATAACCCAATAACACATACTGATCAAATTGTAGATTGAACTGGACCTCCCTTGAACTTAGACTTCGATTTTAAACAATTTTCGAAAAACTAAGTTCATTTATTATTAGCTCACACCTGATTATAGCTTCTCATTTCTTGAGAAAATATAAAGACACTTTATGTTGTTAAGAAATCAGCTCTGATTTTATGATTTTCATCGTTATAAAAATATCTTACTTAATTAGCCATTCACCTGCTGGGACATGGCGTTTAGATTATGTACCTCCATGCAGGAAGTTAGGTCACTTCCGGTAGAACAATCACCATGGTTATTTTTTTTTTTTTTTGTAAACATTTCGTCAAGTATTGCTACAAAAGAATAGGTTTATGGAAATATTTGAGTACTTTTTTTTTTTTGAAGAGCCATTTTATGCAATGGTGCCAATGAGTGAGGACATGGAAGAACAACCTTTCCTAGGTTATTAGCCTTTAACTGTAGCGTTGGGTGAGGGGTATATGTAAAAGTAGGGTGAGTCCTCCAAGACATAGGGGGAGATTTCCTAAAAATAGGGTGACTCTTCTATGACTTCGGGAGAAGATTTACTAAGACTAAAGCGATTCTTCCTAGATGAGGTGGTTGTAGCTTTAGGTGAGGGGAATGTGTAAAAAGTAGGGTGAATCCTCCAAGACATAGGGTGAGATTTCTTAAAAATAGGGTGACTCTTCTATGACCGCGGGAGAAGATTTACTAAAAGTAAGGTGATTCTTCCTACATGGGGTGGGGGGAAGATGAGTACCACTGATTTTAGGTATATTTACTATCATATTTCTTTAAGCTCACGCTCCGGAAGTGGCGCTTAAGAATTAAAACAAAATTATTGTGTATTGTTATGTTTTATGAAATAAATATTCTGACAGCAAAATCTGTAAAAAACACGATGGGTTTATTTGGATACGTGTATAAGAAATGTGTCTTTCTAACAAGTGGTTCATGGGAAGTTAGCTTGCTCAATTTTATTATTAAGAAAATTTGGGGTATTAAATACATAAGATAATAAAACCAGCTTTGTTCATCATAGAACTGGATCAAATGTTATCCGCCTTGAATTTAAATAAACATTTCAAGACATTAACACTTAGATGTTATTACCATTTTTGTCAGGGTTGCCCCTATTTTTACGTAAGGTTAACAGGTTGTGAATTAAATATCCCAACCCCATTCATTCTCATGTATTTGAGCATCAACCATTTTAGTCACATAAAATATGAAATCTTCTAATACCAAAATAATATACAAGAAATCAAGAAAATAATAATAATAAAAGCCCTGTTGTTCTCAGAGTTGAAGCCTACTATTAACCGACATGCCGATGCTTCCTTATACTTAAGTCACTCGAACATCACGAGACTTTGACTTGTATTTATAGTGCTTTTCACACTTATATTTTGTTCTTGATGGCGCTGATGACAACGAAACGTTGACCCTTGTGCTCTCGGAATTTTTAACTCATATCCCATTGTCGTTATTTCGATTTTTATTATTGATTTTATTAGGGATAACTCCGCTTGTATTTTATCAAGGTTTATTGTTATTAATAGTTCCTATAACCTTTTCTACAAGTTGTACTCTTTCGACAAAAATTCTGAATATTATCTTTTTTCTATATATTTCTCACATTCAGAACAAACACCCGAGATCATTTTGGAAATTTTCTGTCAGAGTTATTTATGACAATGTACCCTTCGCAGTCTTAAAATATTTCAATTGTCAAAGTTCAAACTTCTGACATTTTGAATTTAAATATTCTACGTTTATCGAATGTAGTCACTTCTGATAAGTTACTCTGTAATTTTTTTATGCCACATGAAACTCCAGTACTTGCGGATGCTGTGGGTCTACGATTGTTTAGAAATTAACAAAAACGACGAAATTTAATTTATAAACTTCGAGCTTATAACGCTAAAGATCAAGGTTCGATACTCGCGATGAACACGGGGGAGAGGGTCCATTGTGTAATTTTGTGTTTAAAAACACTTTTAAAAAACTGTTTGAAACCATCACATGACAATTGTTAGAAGCACGTGATATTTCATAAAAATCAAGTAATTTTAATAACATTTCACATACTTGTCTTCTTAAAGTATTCATACTCTCGAGACGTTCGCGAACAATAAAGAAACTAACTAGAAAGAAAAAGTGACAAAAATCATTATTCGTCTGTGAGACAAGATTTGATGTTGGTCAAGAAATGCGGAAATATCCATATGAAAGATAAATACCATACTTTGCATGTTGTGAAAGTCTTTGTACTGTAAGATCAGTTTTTTTCCACCTATTCTTGGTCGTCTGCTTAAAATAAAAATAAAAATTCAGGTTGGAAGATACATCTTCAAGGAACCTTAGTACCAACAACTGCCTAAATTTGCATTGTAAGCATGACAACGTATCCAATAACTCAATTGGTTTAGTCATTCCTAT